GATATAGAGTTGTGGCCACAACCGATGTCAAAGCGTATAATAAGACTATGGAAAAGATTTATTATGGAAAATCTTGACATATTAGTTTGAGACATGTGTATGTATGTAACTGTTGTGAATGGACGGTCTTGCAATAATTTGGTGGATCTGTTTACAAAAGGATTATCAAGGGACATGGTGCAAACTATTCCCAAGGAAATTGGTTTGAAACCAATTATTTAATCAAGAACAATGGAAACCCAACTTTTTCTATAGTACTACACCTATATTAAAGGTTCAATGTGGTAAAAAAAGTTGTTTGTCGATGATATATTGATTATTGTTGATTATAATTGATATATGTAAGGGTGAGTTTTAGACTCTCAATGAAGTTTCAAAGGTTATTTTTGTACTTCACCTATATGAACATATAGGAATGGTGTTGTTCCTAGCAAAAGCGTGTTTTACTTTTGGAGATGTTCATGAATACCGGGATGAGCACGTGGCCATAATAGTGCTACCAAGTTTAAGAACATGTGGTTTAACAATCTTTTGTGTAGAATTTCCGGTAATGATATTTAAGATTATGGTTCAAAGCTACGTGCTACCATTAATTTTGTTGTTACTTTGAAAGTTTACACTAGGTGGAGTTTAAAATCGATAAGTTACCTTCATTGATTCATAATTTTGTTAGTAAAGATTTAAGAATATACACCAATTTTGAAGACTAAGTGGGGGATTGTTAGATTAGTTGTCTCAATAGGTGTTGTGAATGATGGGAAATTAGTCCCACATTGGTAAAATAATAGTTGGTTATATAGGTTAGTGTATATAGCTAAATGTTTGGGATGGAAGTCCCACATTAGTAGAATAGAAGAAGTTAGCTTGTTCAATTCTGTTTAGCTTGTTGTTGGGAAGAAAGTTCAATAAAGAATATTGGCTACTCTATTCTATTTAACTTGATGTTGGAAAGAAACCCTTACATTGGTTAAAAGGAAATGTTTAGCTTGGAGCTAGTGTATAAGTTTAATATTTGGAGCATAACAAATTTTAATGTGAATCAAGGATTATGACCACAGGCCCGGTCGGGCGCGAACATGTACTTAGAAAATTAATGGAAACAAGCTTATTTTCTTATTTGCTCGAGTGGGGCGAGTGTGATAATTGCTTAGGATAATAGTGACTTTTCATTATAAGTCGGATTATCTTAATTAATTATTGTTTGGAAAGTAGTGACTCTTGGATTAAAAAAATTGTATATATATATATATATATATATATATATATATATTCATGGGCTCCAATCATAACTTACTTTTAACTTCTTCTTCCTCATCTATTCTTAATTGTTCTTAGTGAGTTAAATTACATTGTTTTAATTGATTTCAAAATTTAGGGAAATCCTAGAAGCATAATAACTCCTAACCCATAGCAATCATAGTGGGGGTTATAATTGCTTTAAGGACAGTGTAAACACGTCCCTAATTCTTAATTTTTCATTGCTATTTTCTAACAGTGGTGAGGGTGGATAGTGTTTTCGGGGAAGGTGGTTAGGGTGGGTGGTGGTGAGGAGAAGATGGTGATGGGTGTGTTTTTTAGGGGAGCAGTGAGTGTGGTGGCTTTGCTGGTGATGGTGTCACTGGAGAGGCGGTGGTGATAGTGGCATTGTGGTAGTAGGCTTGGTTGGTGATGGCTAATGGTTAAAGGAGGGGGTGGTTAAGGAGAGAGTGTGGTTAAAGTTAAAATCATGGGTTTGGATAATTAGTGGGGTTGTATCACTTGTATGTTTCAAATGTTGTTTAATTTAGTTTAGTATGGTAATTTTGTAAGAAGTGTTGCAACTATTATGACATTTCCTTATTATAAAAATGTTGCACATATAAGAAACCAGAGGAAGTAGATAAAAACTATGCTATGTGGGATATTATTTGATTGCTATATTTTTCTTTATCTAGGGCCTACGCGGTTACCTGTATTTGTGCCACCCTCTCTACACTCAGCTCAAACACAAGTGAGAAGATTTGAAGAGCAGGTACATAAATTTTGATTTGTTAGTACATTATTGGCAATGCCTTGGGTTCATTATCCAAATCGCAGGTTAATAAATATTTATCATGTGCAGGTTCATTTTTGAATTGTAGGAATAGCGCAACAAGAAATTGACATGATGAAAAATCATGTGCCTCAAGCTTCAAGATAAAGAATCCTGTTCATTGCACAATACCAGTAATAATGAGTTTAGAGGTAAAAATAGTGAACATATCTATCTCATTTTGCATCAGATCCTTCCAATCTATATGTAGGTTTATGTGTAGATGCAATGTAGGAGGTTACACTAGTGACTTTTCATTTCAGGGTATTTTTCTGGCTGCTTGAATTAGGTCTTCAGGGTCGCTCTAAACTTAGTAAGTTGTAATTTGCCTATTTGGGAATGATAGGTTTAACTTCAGGCTTCCAAGATGTACAGACTTGATCAAACAGTGTAAAAATTACTACTAGTTTTTTTACGACGTAGCATTTGCTGATGTATTAAAGCTTTCTTGTCATTTTGATCTTGTGCCAAACTTTTACCTTAAATAAATGCCTACCTTGGAAGTATATTGACGTAGTTATATAGATTAAGTCATTAAATAATTGTCTTGAGGGGTAGTAACGAAGGATTTCCCTATTATGATTGGATTACACAAGTTATGGCATTGAGTTCTTTCCTCTTTGCAATTGGATGAATTAATAAGAGCTATCTAAGGTGAGAAATCGTGGTGTATGTTGTTTGCAGATGAATGTATTGGTGGTTCAGGAGACTGGAGTTGGGGTTAATGCCAAATTGAAGCAATGGAGGCAAAGCTTAAATATAGTTTTTAGCACTTAGAGGAAGTCAAGTGGGAATATAGTAACATTGGATGGTAAGAAAGCACCCAAAATGATTGTTTGAGTGTTTTAAGTACCTTGGTTTGATTTTCAATATGGTGAAGAAATCGACCAAGTTGTGACCGAGCAACAAATGGGATATTGTGTAATCATAACCTGCCAAGATAAAGAGAAAATTCTATCGGAAGGTCTGATGTTATATGGGTTAGAATGTTGCCATTTAGGATGGATCATATTAGAAAGATGGGAGTACTAGTGATGCATATGCGTGAGAACGCCTTAAAGGATAGAATTAGAGATATAAATGTTAGAAGGAAAGTTAGAATTCAGATGTCAAAGGTAAAATAAGGGAGAATCAATTGCGTTGATTTGGGAAATGCATTAAGTTAAGATCCCACCGATGGGATCTTTGAAGAGGCAAAAGCAGACCATAAATTACTTGGAAGGAAGGATTAGAGAAAGACATTAAAAATTGGGTTTGCAGGAGCATTTGACATGGGGGGACATAAGGGAATGGAAGGAGAGAACATGGTTAGGAAGTACTTGGTTTTTGCAGCCGACCTCATCTTCAGGATTAAGGTTTTGATTGTTGTTGTATGTTTTTATTCAGGACGACTTAATTGAATGAACCCTTACTCTCTCATAGGTCATTTAGCTTATCTACACAGGTTAATATGTTTTTTCCCTATATAACGTGGACACATTTAAAATGAGAAATAAAATTTAATTTCAAGACAACTAATTTTATGAACTGTATTTCATTGTGACTTGAGTAGTTCAACATCAACCATGAAAAATGTGAAGTTTATTTGAAGGGATCCAGAGTGTGTTTGGTTTGTGCCTAACTTTAGTTCTCAATCAAAATATGTTAAATTATTTATTTTTATATACTAATTGGCAGACAAATGTCTGGTTCAGTGTCAAGAAGTTCGTTGTCGGTCAATATACTACGTATAATTGTTGTCTAGATCTACATGCATTTTTTATATTTTATTTTATTTTATAATTTTTTTACTTATTAGATTTCCTAATAACTATAAAGAGCAATGGAGCGTTAATGCGTTGCATAGAATTCAATTTCAGAATTTGGATGTATTCATATAAATATTGCGTATGTTAATTGCTAATATATCTAGATTATATTTTATATAAAACAAGTTACCAACAAAGCGTTGGCTCACTTGATTATGTTCTTACCTCAGGTATAGAGTTCAAATCCTACCAAATGAGGGTACTTGGGGGTTGGGCTGTCAATCTCTGACCAGATTCTTGATTATGTTCTTACCTCAGGTATAGAGTTCAAATCCTATCAAATGAGGGTACTTGAGGGTAGGGCTGTCAATCTCTGACCGGGTTCGATAACCCGACCCGAAGTTACTGAGAGAAACCTAATCCTAACCCAAACAACCCAAATTCGACCTGGCTATAAAGTGTTTGATCCATAAATATTGGAATAAAAAATGGTGAGGGTTGAGGTTTGATTAGGGTCTTCCTTATCATTGAAATAAAAATAAAATAAAATTACAGAATACAAGTTATTATTCGGTTATGAGAAATCTTAGAATCGATTCTAATCACTCGCCTTTGTAGCCCTCTAAAAAAAAAGATTTATATATACTTGTATTTTTTTGCTCAAAGAAAAATGTTGAAGCAGAGCAGATTTGATTTCATTATTGTTATTATTGTTATTGTTATTGTTACTACTACTATTACTATTATTAACACGCATTATTATTATAATTATTAAATATTATTATTAAATGTAATTAACATTATTATTAAATATTAATTAATATTATTATTAAAAATAAAAAAATATTATTTTTATTATTAATATTAAAAATTAATAATTAGTATTATATTTAAATATTAGTTATTATCTTTAAATACTAATTTTTATCATAAAAAATCAATTATTACTATCACTATTATTGTCATTTTTTTTTTTGAGAAAATATTACTATCATTATTATTTTATTATTAAATATTGATTATTATTATTGTTATAATAATTAAATATTAATTATTATTATTCTAAATATTATAATTATTAAATATGTTTATTATTATTATTATTATTATTATTATAATAATAATAATTTAAATTAAGTATTATTTTTAAAGAGAGCGGAGCAGATTTCAACAGGCAAAGCAGAGCAGAGCAACTCTAAAGAATGGGGCCCAAGTCACCAATTGTTGTTTCACCTCTTTCTCACCTTACCCCTTGTCCCTAAGGCCCTATGTATTTGTTTACAAATACTAGATTGAAAAACATGGTATTGGAAAGATGCAACAATCATTCAATTGATAGAGAACAAAGAAAGTACTCACTTTTTGGGATAAATTCTTAAATATTACACGTAGAATATCTTAACTTTTATTTTATAGTTTTATAGTTGCACTGGTCAGTATTTTTTTTTTTTCATTAGCACTAGATTAGATGGTTACACTTAATATCACCAGCTAGACATTATAAATAGAATCCCCTTACACACTTATCCCTCCTTACAAAAGTGTTACCACACAAGAATAATTGAATAAATACCTTTTTCTTTTTTGAAAGAAAAAACCCACACATTTATACAAGAATCTAAGAATATGGCCACATCTTCAACCAGCAAAACAAATGAAGGTCAAATTACAGATCAAATGAATGAGGAAGAACTAGATTATTTATATACTTATCAATTGATCAATTCTTGTGTTCTTCCCATGGTTATGAAGGTAACCATCGAGACGGGGGTGCTGCAGTTGATCAATGATCAGGCTGGCCTCGACGGGCTTTCACCAGCAGAGATAGCAACCAGGGTTCAGATACTGAACCCAAATGCACCTGCCATGCTAGACCGGATGCTCTGTCTTCTAGCCACCTACGACGTTATTGGGTGCACCGTGGTAGACACGGCTGATGGTGTTGAAAGGCGGTATAGTCCCTCGAGGGTAACTAAGTTTCTGGTGCCTGATAATGATGGGGTGTCATTAGGTCCTCTGTTGAACCTATTTGTTGATAAGATCTTCATTGAGAGCTGGTTAGTTTTCTGATTATTACATTTTATATGAACAAAGTTTAATTAAAGGGTAAAGGAGGACAAATAATAAGCTCAAAGATCTATCATAGAATTTACAAACTTAGCTCATTTTTATCTACATGTATATTAAACTAGTTTAATCTATCTTTAGTTATTGTGAACCACTCCTTCCATTCCATGAAATTATGTTCATTTACTATAAATGTGTATACCGAACCAAATTAAATTAATGGAAGTTGGGATATCCAGATATGTGTACATGGAAAATGTAAATAAAGATACTCCATCCGTCTCTTATTGATAATCTTTTGTGAGCAATTTTCACGGAAATTAATAAATATAAATAAGTAGTAAAAGCACATTCGAAAGGTAAATTTAAATTGAGTTTGCAAAAAAATAAAGAGAGAAAAGAATAAGATTATAAGAGTACATGGAAACAAAATTTACATAAGAAATTTAAATTTGCACAAATATTTTTGCAAATTAGAGAGAATTTTGATAAAAAAATTACTCCCTTTTTTTTTTAATGCATCACTTTGATTTTTGCACTATTTACACATCAAGATTGACTTAATTTTTTCACCTCTATAAAATAAATAAATGTTATTATATAACATATCATTAGATTAATCTTAATGTCTAGTTTCATAATATAATTTTATTATAATTTTTACTAATAGACTATTAAAGATATTAATGGTCAAAGTTGTATCTCGGCAAATGTCCCGGTCAAATTGATGCAAATAGAAAAAAAAGGAAAAAAAAGGGGGAGTAATATACTTGAAAAAAAGCAAATGAAACTATCGTTTTGGGACTTAAAATTGGCTATAAAAGATTATCAATTAGGGATGGAGGGAGTATGATATATGTGGTACTCCCTCCGTGTTTAAATAAATAAAGCGTTTTGATTTTCACAAATTTTTTAAAAGGTTAGTTGATTTATTTATTAAAATAATAGGTAATGGAGTAAGTTAAGGAGAGAGAATAGAGTAGGAGATTTTGTGGGGACCATTAGTTAGTAGAATGTTTTTAAAAAATAGAGACAAGTTTTAAAAAAAACACATTTCATTTATTTAAACATGAATAGATAAGAAAAATGTTTTACTTATTTAAAACACGGAGGGGTACATAATATGTGATTACTTTACAAGGAAAGAGAGTATTCTAACATAAAAAAGTTGTTCCCAAAAATTTGTGGTTCATAAAATATAATACAAAGTATGAAGTATTTAATTAGTTAAGAAAAAAAAACTCCTAAATTATTTGGGTTTTTTTTCATTATTTATGTATTTCCTCGGTTTTCTTAATTGCACCATTTGTCATTTTATGTTTGTCGATGTAGTACTTTGATCATTAATATCTTCAATTATGCCTAAGAAAAATTATAAAATGTTATATTTGAAAAGTAGATATCGAGATTAATCTAACAAGATCCCATGTGACTATATTTTTCCTTACGGATAAACCACAAAAGATAGCCGAAGAAGGTTGTGTGAATAGTATAAAAGTGTGTCCTATTAAAAAAAGGATGGAAATATTTTTTATCATAATTTTTTAATAGTGTATTGAAAGCAAATTTTATCATGATTGTGTTGTGTTGTTAAATACTCTATTAATGTAAAGTTTTCAGTGTTTATTATTACTAGTATAATCTTTTACTAAAATTTATCTAAGGTTAAATTAATGCATTGATATGTGTATTAAGTTTGATTTTATTCAAAGTAAAAGTGAGAATGGTTTCATGTTATAGTCTCTAAATCCAAATGAAAAGTGGGAAGAAATTGGTGAAATTAAAGGATTAGGTGATACTATAATTTTTAAGGATAATGATATATGTAGCCCTTAAGCCTATTTATAAGCATTAAATATACTTTTAAAATTGAATTAAGTTGAGAATTCACGACAAAATCACGGGTAGACCGGTGTAATTAATATTAATCTTTGCCCAAAATTTCTTTTTTTTTAGTTTCTTATACATAGCTCTTCCGAAAGCATAGCCCTTCCCAGAAGGGTATATCATTTTTTCAATTTTTAATTATTTATTATATGGAAAAATGTGAAGGAGCAAGCTTAAAGAAGCAGTAGTAGAAGGAGGGATACCGTTCAACATGGCACATGGAGTGCATGCATTCGAGTATCCAAGTTTGGACGCAAGATTCAATGAGGTTTTCAACAAGGCAATGTATCAATCAACAACATTCACCATTAAGAAGATTCTTGACAAGTACAAGGGTTTTGAAGGCATAGAAACTCTAGTTGATGTTGGTGGAGGTCTTGGCCATACTCTTCGTGTCATTATATCTCAATATCCCTCTATCAAGGCTATCACTTTTGACTTGCCTCATGTCATCGAAAATGCCCTTCCATTCCCCGGTAAGACCGCTTTTTAAAATTAATCTAGCTTAAATTTTGTGAAACTCACGGTTTTACTAAAATTAATTATGAATTACAATTTAATTTAACAATAATTTGAAAAAAAAAGGAAAAAACTATGTTTTCAATTGAAGTAATTTGGTCATGAGTTACTGAGTGTTACTCGATCGGTCAAAGGTCACTCGGTTAGGGGTTACTTAAAGATGGCTTTGGGTCTTATCCGGTCATGCCTTGTGCGAGGTCCACGTAATTTGGGGTTAGTTAGGCCCGTCCCACGAGTTTTGTGTTGAGCCGAAATTTTCAAAAGGTTGGCCCGTGCACGGCCCTGGCTCACGTGCCATTGTGTCAGGTCGTGCTGGGCATGCGTGCCTAAGAAAAATTGTCTTGATTTTAGCAAGCTTTGTTATATCGGACTCGGCCATGTCGTGCCTTATCGCGCTTCTCCTAAATAAAGGCGGCTCAGTCCAGCAACGAACCACACGCACAGTACCGTGTTGTGCCTTGCTTTTTTTCTTACTCGTATTGTGTCGTATTTATTCGTGTTGGATCATGTCGGGCTTTGGGCTCGGTCCAGTGCCATATTTAAGATTACTCTTGACTAGGGGTTTTTCGTGTGTTAGCTGGCCACAAGATAGCCACACACAAACATTGTTAGATTTAATAAAATGTGTATGAAAAGGTTGTGTTACAAATATATCTCAATTTGGAAATAATATTATATTTATTTAATGGTCAATTGAATAACAATGCCAAAATAATCCAAAAGATAATAATTAGCGTATCTTTTTTTTTTTTCCTTTCAATTTTGACATAGGTGTGGAACATGTATGTGGAGATATGTTTGAAAGTATTCCCAAAGGAGATGTCATATTCATGAAGGTGAGTTTACACTTACAACTATTAATGTGAAATATATATGCACTTACCACATAAATAACACTTGCTTTCCTTCCAAATAGTGGGTTTTACATGATTGGAGTGATGAGCATTGCTTGAAGTTGTTAAAAAATTGCTTCAAGGCATTGCCGGAAAATGGTAAGGTCATCGCCGTGGAAGGAATCATGGTAGACAAGCCAGATACTACAGTTTCCGCCAAAGTCATAAGCCAAAGAGACTTGCTTATGATGACACAAAACCCAGGAGGGAAGGAGCGGAGCAAGCATGAGTTTGAGGCTTTGGCTAAGGCTGCTGGTTTTGCTACTATCAACTTTGTTTGTTGCGTTTATAACCTTTGGGTTATGGAGTTTTACAAATGATATGGACTCACTTGATACTAAGCTTGTTTATGGTCATTTAGTTCATTATGTGGCATGTCCTTTAAATAAAACATATGAAGAATTGTTTTTGGCTTCTTTATTCAATTCTAAGATGGATATACTTCTAAGGTTATTGAATTTTTTTTCCTTCATTGACAATAAACTTCCTTTTGGGTTTGGAAAATTCTTATGAAAGATATGGTATGATGAGTTATTATTTGTTAGTCCAAGTACTCCCTCTACCCCTTTTTTTTCATTAATGGATATTTTTTTATTTTATTTTATTGATTGTTCAATTTCATTTAAAGTCATGGAATCTTCTTAATCTCTCTTTTAAGATTTTTCAACCCCACCTTACGCGTAATTACTTCTTTTAACAACTCCCTCTACCCCCCCCCCCCCCTCTCCCTTCATCATTTCACACACTCCCTCTTCTACTCTATGGTGTGCTTTGGTTTCTCTCTTCTCATTTTAACCAATGTCCTCTCTATCCTCGGGGAATGATGGACCGCTACTTGGTATAGGTCACCTCGCCCAATACCAAGTGATATAAGTTATTTATTTATTTATTTATTTATTTTTTTAGAAAAATGGAAATAAATAAACCCACCTTTGCTCGAACTGAAATTAATAACCCACCTTTGCATATTTACGAGACAAACCCACTTTTGTGAGTAATCTTCTTTTAATATACCAACTAGTGAGTAGCCCGGGCGTTGCCCCGGGTTGCTACTGTTATAGACGTGCAATCAATAAATTTTTTTTAAGACTTTTTAAAATTGTAATTATCATTGTCAAACTAAAATTGAGTTTTTTTTTAATTATATTTTTTTAATAGAACCTTGTGGTTTGCACTTATATGATTTATTTTACATATTAATTACACACTTGATAATTGGCTTAGATGGTGAAATAGTTATTCTTGTTATAAAAGGTTGAGGGTTTGATTCTCCTTATCCTTACATTTTTATATGGAGTAATGTTGGTTGCTTGGGTGATGTGGCATCATGAGATGTTGGGAAGATGACGTGGTGCTGGTTAATCTTTCCCATTTCCCTCCTAATCCCTCTTCATCTTCAATTAATTTTATTCGAACACTATTTCTACTGGTTTGAAGACGAAATGAAAGGAAATTCCCAAAAAACAATTGTCAATCTTGATCTGTAGACGCAAAGCTTGGAGCTTCAGTAAGGGGAATTGTGAACTGGGTTTCATCGATCTTGGGCAATACGTGTGTTGTCGAGGTAATTCTAGAAACCCTAAATTTTGATTTTTTTTTGAATTGGATGAATTGAAGTTACTGTCTTATGCTTGGGGTAGTAATTAGAATTTATACAATACTTTAAGTGAAATTTGTGCATTCGTTTGATAATTAATTATGGAAAATGTGTGTTTGAAATTTTACCATGGGGGGGTGTTTAAGATGCAAAAATGATGGATGGGAATATGTGGGAGGGCTACAAGACTTTTGCAGTTGATGCTGATGAGTTGTGTTGGTATTATTTAAAGGAATTAGTAGATAAATGCGGTAAACAATAGTGATGTGTACACGATTTATTACTTGATGCCTGGATTTGATTTTGTTGATGGGTTAAAGAGTGTGTATAATGATGATGAGGTTAGAACAATGGGGGAACTTTTTCTTAATAGTAGATGTCTGGATTTGTATTTGGTTCATGATGGAAAGAAGATTTATTTCTTAAATCCTGTCCATGGATCCCAGACTAGATCAACAAACACAACCCACCCCATTAGAAGCCCAAAGCACATCCCTGGTCCACCCACAAGGCCCAAGACATTGACCCCAAGAAAAGGCCCTAGGTTGACTCAGGAATCATGTGCTGCACATGATGACGGGAAGACAGCTTCTGTGCTGGTCCCCACACCCACATTTGACAAAAAAACAAAAAAACCTATTTCCACATCTAACACTTTAGCATATGTTCAGATCCCGGACCAACAACAACAAACAAAAAACCCTAATGAAACACAAAAACCCCAAGCTGAACCTAGAAAAATAGTTGAACCTTCAAACAGCTTTCATAGATTTGAAGTCCCTTCTGATTATGACTGGGAGGATAATAGACCATGTAGTCCAATTCCCCTAGATTTTTTGCTGCATGGTGTTAGTTCTGATGAGGATAAGTCAGATGATGATTATGAAATAGGGTTAGATGAGTGGGTGGATGAGGATGAGATGGTTATTTCAGCCTGCTGATGAAGTAAATGAAAGAAGTCAGGAGGATGGGGATTGGTTAGGTGACTATGAGATATATGAAGCAATTTTATTTTATTTTATTTTTTTTTTTTGGGGGGGGGGGTTGAACATAATGACTTAGAATAATTACAAGATCCAATGTTATTAGATTGATTGGATGTAGTGATGATGAAGTACAAGTAGCAAGGGAGAGAGTGAACGGATTCAACTGTAGCATTGTTGAATTAGCTCATAAACTCCAAACTGAGGCTGATAGGGTGGGCTTACTGTGGTAGGGGACCATACTTGCATCAGGAGCATGGAAAAGAATAAGCAACTGAAATGTATCTGGCTTGCAGGATAGTTACTTGATGTGTTCAAAGCAAGGCCTCATTGGCCTGCTAAAGAAATTATAGAGACTGTAAGGAGAGCTTATAGAGCCATTGTGAAGCCTGATTTTGCTTATAAAGTTAAGTGACATGCTCACAGGAAACTACATGGGTCAATGAGGGAGCACTATGGGAAGGTTGGTAGATACTTATGTGAAAAGGTCCAGTCCTAACACACACTTGGACTTGGTCACTTACATGGAGAAGAACAAACCTCCAATGATTTTTCAGAGACTGTATGTGTGTTTTGAGGGTGTGCAGAAGGGTTGGAAGGAAGGGTGTAGGAAGATAATTTGTGTAGATGCTTGTTTCTTGAAAACATTCCTAAGAGGTCAGTTGATGTCAGCTGTAGGGAGATATGGTAATGATAAAATGTACCCAATTGCTTGGGCTGTAGTGGAGGGAGAAAACAACAGTTCTTGGGAATGGTTCCTAAAACACCTCAGCAACAGCCTTGGTCTGGGAGAAGGAGCTGGAGTTATTATTTTCTCTGATGAGCACCAGGTACCTCTAAATCTTTCAATGTCATTTGTTTACATGTATTGTTCTTTGATTTGGTCTGTTTTAATGTAGTGTTTATTGTTGGTATGTTTCAGTCAATATTAAGAGGAGTTGGAGTCATTCTCCCTAATGCTGAGCATAGGCACTGTGAAAGGCATATTTATTTATGCTAATTGGCACAAGTCCTTCAAAGGGGATGAATTGAAGCTCATGTTTTGGAGCTGTGCCAAGGCATACAGTAGAGCTGACTATGATGAAGCATTAGAGAAATTAACCAAAGCTGATCCAGCAGCTGTAGAGGCTTTCAAAGCATGTAATCCTAAGATGTTCTGTAGAGCTTTTATGAAAATTGAGAGAGACTTTCAATGGATACATAACACATGCCAGAACAAAACATTTACTGCACATGCTTGAAGACATTATATTAGATCATCACTAATGAAAAGATTGGTGACAAAGAAGCATGGAATGGAGAAATGGACAACATCAATTTGTCATAGGATACAAAAGAAGTTGGAGTGGGAGAAAGAAGAGGCAGCCAAGTGTCATGTCATCCCCTCAAGCACCACATTGTTCCAAGTTAGTCGAATTTTTGGACACAATGAGTGTTGACCAGGAAAATAGGAAGTGCACTTGCAAAAAATGGGATATGACAGGCATCCCTTGTTGCCATGCTGTGGCAGCAATGTTCTTCATACATAGGAATGTAGAGGATTTTGTTAATGATTATTACAAGAAGGATAAATACCTAGTGTCTTATTCAAATTCAATTCCTCCAATAGAGGGTAAAAGACACTGGCCAAGGAGTGATTTGGTGTTTGGCCCACCACCAATTATGATAGACCCTGGAAGACTAAGGAAGAATAGGAGAAGGGACCCCTTTGAAGACCCCAAAAAACCCGAAAAGCTAACTAAACATGGCATGGAGATGACCTGTAGTGTTTGCAATACTAAAGGCCATAACAAAAGATCTTGTCCAAGCAAAGGAACAACCACCACAGTTGAACCTCCTCCAAAAAGTCCTAGGGGTAAGCCTAAGCTACAGGTTGAATCAACACCACAACATGAGCAAGCTAGTTGTAGTGTCAATGTAACAGCAACAGCCCAACCTTCAAGGATAGACAAGGGTGGAAGGGTTGTGAGCAGGGGAGGAGGGACATGAAATGTAAGGGTCAGAGGTAGGGGAAGTGGTAGGGGAGGGGAAAGCAGCACTAGGGGTAGGGGAAGCAGTGGGGGAGGGGAAAACAACAGTGGTAAGGGAATTGGCATATATAGGGTGGGAGAGTAGCAGGGGAAGGGGAAATGGTACAGGAAGGGGGAGTCTGGACAGTAGGAGAGGTACCAGGGGTGGTAGAGCAAGGGGTGGCTGAGGAAGAGGTCAGGTGCCATAAGGTTATGAGGTGTTTGTTGCTGCTGATGGTTCTAATTACACAAATGTAAGTGTGTCTGATTGTGTAAGTTGTGTGCATACAATTGAGTTTGTGTTGTTACTCACTTAACAATATTGGTGTATAGGTACCAAGTGGATCAGCTCCATAACTTTCTCCTACAATTCAGCCAAGGGTCCAACAATTAAAGTCCAAGACCTATAGTTAGATTTCAATTCCAGTGTAATTGAAATGTATTTTGCCTTATTTTGAACATTTAGAGCCAAACAATATCGTGTTTACATACTCTGGCCAACATTCTATAATATAATGTTACGTTCAAGTACTTTATGCATTTTCAAATTTTGTCCACTTTTTTTTTTTTCCTTTTATTTATCAATTTCTGTCCACATGAATATGAATGTGCAATTCTCAAATCACCATTTGCCAACAAAATAACCAAAAATTAGTTAATAAAGTCATGCATATATATTGATTGGGAAATTCTCACTGGTGAACTCCAATTTATTAAATTTACAAGTGGTGAACATTCTTAAAATTAATTATCATTGGTAAACCTTAATTAGAATGATTAAATCATTGGTAACCTTAATCACCATTTAATCTGATTATTTAACAACTAT